GAAAAATAAAATTTAACATTCTTTATTTTTTAACCACTTTTGTCCCCAGAATGCGTTTTGATTTTTTTTGCTTGGTTTAGGTTTTTTTTAAGTCAGAGTGCATACATGCAGTGGTTTTGAAATGAGGTTGTGTGCATGGTGGGAGAGTCGTTCTGTCAGTAGTTCCTCAGAAGGCAGGGTAGTTTTAACTTAGTTCTGTGTATGACTCAAGAGGATGAAGGGGTTTTTTTAAAGTATATTTTGCCCAGTGAAAGACTTAACCGTGTTGGCTTCAGTTTGAGCAGACCACAAGGTAAATGTTATAGTGATAACAGGAAAAAAAAAAAAAAATTGTAAGTTTAATATTTTTTCATTAATTCCGTAGTAGCTGTTTCCCATGGAGCATATGGGGAATACAATGTAAAAATAATAATATATTACAAGAAAAATTTTTGGGAAGAAAAGAATTAACAAATACTCAGTGCCTTTTCTTCTCACTCCTTTTATCAAAGGGAATTAAATACTCTATACTCTTACCAGTGAGACTGGTTCAAAGACAGAGTGCTAAAATGTGTGATTTAGTCTCCATGTCTCCAAACGTTTTCACTGAGATTAAAGGCCTAACCAGACCAACCCAGAACCAGCAAATGGGAGATTTTTCTGATACAATATGAAAGAATTTGACGCTATATTTACCCATTTTAAAGATTATGAAAATTTTCTTTTCATTCTTTCTTTATAGAATAGATGGTAGTGTTTCATTTGAAGATGAGTTCTAGTGTATAAATTACACTATCTTTAGTCCCACCCTTCATTCTGTTTTAGAGTTTATATAGTAGTGCCATATGTGGTCAAGGATATTTGTTTGATAAGCACTCCCTGTGTATATATATTATTATCACAGGTTTTTCAAAATCTTTGTTTCAAAACTGATTTTAATATTTTATCCTTCCAGACTTCTTGGTTATCACTAACAGCAATAACACTTTTGGATATCCCTGTTCATTATGTAAATATTCCATCCAGACATTTACAGTATATAGGTTGGAGAGGGCCTGCTGTATATACCAAGGGTCTAACTAACACTCTTTTCTTATGTTCTTAAATTTCCTGTAGGAAGATGAGATAATGAGGTGCTGCAGGATTTTATTATTTTTTCCTTCGGTTAAGTGATTAATTTTTCTTTTTCTAGATTCATAGAGTGAAATATAAATTAGTATGCTTTTCTACTTTACTTTTTAAAGCATCTAGTTCATTCCAAAGTGAAAACTGTCCTATATTAGTATGACCTTTTGAGAGATCTCATAGCAGTAGTATCGATCAGTGACATAGGTTTTAGAAATAATGCAGAGAAGCAGCCAGAATCTCAGCTGAAGTCTGTATAAATCTCATCTGTCTCTCTCAGTTGGAGTGATGCTGATGTTGCAATACTTAGGCAAAATAGGGAAGAACTTGGCTGCTTTCATATCTCTAAATTTAGTATGTGGGTGGGCCAGGACAGTGAACAGTTTAGAGCATCTCTGTGCAGCAAAGTTAATAAATCCATTTTGTATGTGAACCTCTGTAAACCCTTCGTCATCCATTAAAAATTTTGCTGTGCTGTTGACAATAAGTGTCAGTAGCAAGAAAGACTGGAGGAAGACCTGGTATACTTCTTTCCTGTAACATTAAAGCCACTGTAATTATGGGTCATTTGCCTGGCTTCTTTGGTAATTAAGAGCTTTAATTGCTTCTAGTTCCAGGGAATTAGTTAAGCTATTCATTATGCATATTGCCTTCCATAATCATCGGCTCCTCTCGTACAGTAAACTTAGTGGCATCATGGAAGTCAATTAGGTCTTTCAAGGCAGAGCAGTGAAGTACATCTCTTTGTATGGGCTGGATTAGAAAAGGTTTCTGAAAGGCCCAGATAATGCTGTTCTGTGCAACATTTAAGCTTACTCTTTAAAAGGCAAAGCCTGTCAGGGTTTCGTTTACTGTCCTCAGAGTCCTCAGAGTGCCTAGGGTCACAAACTTAAGATATTGTTAAGAACAAAACCTATAGGCAGAACCATGCTTCTGTTCTAATAGCAATTGTTCCAAGCTTTGCAGTATCAGCTGGTTACATATTTGTAGTTAGTAATAATGTTCAACGTTTGAAAATGTCTGTCGTGGTTTAACCCCAGCCGGCAGCTCGGCCCCACCCAGCCACTCACTCACTCTCCACCAGTGGGATGTGGGAGAGAATCAGAAGTGAAAAAACTCGTGGATTGAGAAAAAGACCGTTTAATTGGTAAAGCAAAAGTGAAGCAAAACAAGGCATTCGTTCACTGCTTCCCGTGGGCAGGCAGGAGTTCAGCCATCTCCAGGACAGCAAGGCTCCATCGTGCATAACGGTGACTTGGGAGGACAGACACCATCACTCCGAGTGTCCCCCCGCTTCCTTCTTCCCCCAGCTTTATGTGCTGAGCATGACATCATACAGTATGGGACATCCCTCTGGTCAGTGGGGATCAGCTGTCCCAGCTGTGTCCCCTGCCAACTCCTTGTGCATCCCCAGCCTGCTCACTGGTGAGGCAGGGTGAGGAGCAGAAAAGGCCTTGACTCTGTGCAAGCCCTGCTCAGCAATAGCTGAAGCATCCCTGTGTTATCAGCGCCGTTTCCAGCACAAATCCAGTCTGGACTCAGTCAAAAAGTTAAACTAAGTTTAGCAAGTCATTACTCTTACCCATTTGGTATTAGTTGCCACAGTCTATTGTGAAGAAAAGGATAAGAAAATCCATCCTGGGTATGTAGGAAGGGATTTGGTAGATCGATAATGACTGTAGAGAAGGGCTTAATGCATGAGAGAGAAATTTGTGATAAGGCAGAGTTGCAGTGTCTGAAGAGTGTGGGGAAAATTGCACTAACCATCCCAACTTCTGTGTTGAATTACTGAAATTACTTTTGGCAGTAATTTTGATATTAGTATTAGTAGCAGTGCTAATAATACTGATAACGAGTGCAGTCTGAACTGCAGAAGTGTTAGAAACCACTTGTCAGTGTAGGTCAGAATTTTTGGATGGTTGGATGCTAAAGGTTGCTTTAGGTTGTCTGTGACCAAAAATTCAAATTCAGGACTGAGTAATGTCAGGAAGAGATGCTTCATTACATACATTCTGGAATGAACTCCAGAAGCGTTATCTTTTATTATATAAAAGCTCAGACTACATGATTTGTTATATATTTATTTATGTTATATATTTATTATTCAATATTCTGATGTTAGATTACAAAATTCACATAAAGAGTGTATTGATTATTTTTAACAACTTTGCTTCCAGACGGCGATCTTGAATGATTGTGACTATTGTAAGACATGGAACTTTTACCTGACTAAATCTCTTCTCTAAAAGTAACTTTCCAATATAATTGCTGATTTTCTTTCTTACTGTTCCTTTGGAAGAATTAAGTAATTAGAGCATGAATTCGACAGCACTCTGCCGACAAGTGAGGGCTGTGCTGCCCTCCACTCATCCAAAGGCCCAGTATTGACCTAAGTAGTGTAGTCTTCCCCTTCTCGTCTATGTAGGAAATGTCACACCTGTAACTGAAATGGCTTTTGCCATTTTGCAGGTTGTAAAGTTGGTCTTGAAGAGTTAAATTGCCTGCTTATAAAGGTATTTAAGCAGTTGCTTAACTTTAAGCTTGTGCTTAAACCCATCCCTATAAAACAAATCACTTAGGAACATCTGGATAACCAGTTGCTGGGATTTAAGTACATGTGTTGATGTTTTTTTGAATTTAAATGAATTTAAGGTTAATTGCCATGCAGATGTTTGAATTGAGAGGTTTGCCCGTGTTCTAATTAGGGGTGTCTAAGACAGGAATTGAATTTAGCTTTCCTACTAAGTTTTATTCAGGATCATTCGCTTTTTTAAAATGAAAGATTAAAAGTTCATAGTAACATTATTCTTTAATTTTTTCCCCACACCTCCTTGTTTTTCAGTGTCTTGTATTTG